AAAAAAAAAAAAAAAAAAAAAAAAAAGCCTTGGGAGCACAGGCGGGGCCTTGGGAGCACAGACAGTTCTGTTCTATAAGCACTCAAACTTAATGCATCATTATAATACAATTTCACATACAAGCTAGTCAGACGATTTCTTTTGACGTTTTATCATATTTCACACTACAATTCATACTGTAATTTTGTCCAAGTGGCTTGGCTTGTGCACATTAAACATAAATAACCCAGTTACATACATATGTAGCAAATTTGAAATATATTCGCTTAAAAGCTTCACCCTTTACTGTCTCCCAGGTAAGAGGCGCTTTAATATCAAACTGTGGAAGACTTTCACCGACTGCTTCAACTGCCTGCCCATCGCCGCCATCGTGGATGAGAAGATATTCTGCTGCCATGGAGGTATCCCGCCCCCCCCCATGTGTCAGTGTTACTTGGTGCCATTAGCAATATGGAGAACTGAGCTGCTCTTCTGCAGGCCTGTCTCCCGACCTCCAGTCCATGGAGCAGATTCGCCGCATCATGCGACCTACCGACGTCCCTGACACTGGTCAGTCCACTCGTCCTGCTTCCATAAGAACTCATGGGCACACGCTCACTATTCCACCTTCATTCACCCTCTCATGAGCCCCATAAACGTCAACGGTCTAGGTCTGTGCTGTACCCCCCGTTAGCCAGCAGAGGGCAGTCATGACTTAAAGATTTTAGCCAATTACCATTTGGCTCTTTGACTGCCCACATTGCCAAGTGCTCTGTCGTGAGTTAATGAGAATGATATCCTCAGTGGTGTGCAGTCACAGCTGAAACGTGAAAAAGTTTTAAGACTTTCATGGATTAACTGAACATCTGTTCTCAGGTATTAATATGTAAGTTGATATGCACAATAACTGTAGACTGGGGTCCGGGAAACACTTTAGGCTTTTTATACTTGACTGTTCTATTTTATCTGTGTCTATGTGCGTAATGTTTGTGAACCTCGTCACAAGACTTTCAAAGCATGGCTGAATCGCTTCATCCTGCACATGACAAATAGGTGACGTCGACTTTGCCGTCGTACCCACCTGAGGCGCATTGTGGCGCCGTCTTACTGGCGCTCCTGTTCTCTCAGGGCTTCTGTGTGACCTGCTGTGGTCGGACCCGGACAAGGATGTTCAGGGCTGGGGCGAGAACGACCGCGGCGTCTCCTTCACCTTCGGGGCCGACGTGGTCAGCAAGTTCCTGAACCGCCATGACCTGGACCTCATCTGCAGAGCGCATCAGGTAACGGGGGCGTCTTGCTGATTTCACGCTACGGAGACGCCACCCGTACAGCATCGGGGGCCTTTATCAGCCCCCTGGATGAAGGGAGGTGTTCACTCCCCTAACATGCTACTCGTATTCCAGGTGGTGGAAGACGGCTACGAGTTCTTTGCCAAAAGACAGCTGGTCACTCTGTTCTCGGCCCCCAACTACTGCGGGGAGTTCGACAACGCGGGGGGCATGATGAGCGTGGACGAGACGCTCATGTGCTCCTTCCAGGTCGGTCCACCGCCCTCCTCGCCGCCCCCGCCGGGCTTTGGGAACCCCACCTCCTAACGCGGATTTCCGATCACACGCAGATCCTGAAGCCTTCCGAGAAGAAAGCGAAGTACCAGTACGGGGGCATGAACTCGGGCCGACCGGTCACGCCTCCCCGCACAGCCGCCCCCCCGAAGAAGCGGTGAGGAGCGAGGCAGGAGCCGGGCGTCACGGACGGGCCTCCCTTTCTAGGGAGAAGTCTGACACACGGTGGTTAACTATTTTGGAAAAGATGCTCCTTTCTCGAACTGTTTCCTGTGAGTTGCACACCGCTCTCCTCTCTCCTGCAGCCAGTCTCTCTACAACTATGCTTGTTTATAAAATATTTAATACAGCCAGTCGTCTCTCATATCCTGAGTGCACCCCCACCCCACCCGCTTCTGCTCAGTAGCGAATGCACACCACAGCGATAAAGCTCTTCTCAATATCGCCCCCCCTCCCATCCAAATGAAACAGGTGATGAGTTGGATTTTAAATAAAATAATTTGAGGAATAAACTTGTGGGCTTGTTAATTTCTACACTGATCACACTTAAGGAACAAGCACCCAGATGTAAGTTTACATACAAAAGTGTAGGAACTGTCAGGCAACCAGCAAACTTTATTGTGAAACAGACACACATGGGCTTGATGAAACATTTACACAAGTAAAAAAAAATAATTCACATGCATGTGACATAGCAGGTATTCCTTCACACTCTCAGCTGCAGGTCGAACTGCGCCTGAGTTCGGGTGCGAAAGCTGGAGCTGTCTTCACTGCACTACGCAACTGCTTAATGATTTCCATGGCAACGGCTTCCAGTTATGAAATAATCAGAGCAGTGATAAAGAAGAAATGTTGTGGCACAGGCTTCAGAGTTTGTTTGAAATATGCAGTTAAGTGCAAATATTCTGTGTGCAGTGACATCAGTCGCTATACAGATAAACGCATGTAAATATTAAAGTCCCAGGTGGAAGGTTCAAAGGAAATGCATGTTGAAGCCAGATAAGAGCTCCTGCTTGTCTCACAAGATAAGAAAAATGGAGTTAGACATACACACAAAATCAGGCAGCCCCACTAGGTGGTCAGTAAACCCCCCCTGAGTGCCGTCACTATGTGAGCCTCAGGTCCATCAGTGCCAGCAGAGTCGCAGTAACAATTCATCCATTCAGTGGCTCATCACAACTCCACGGCAACAGCCCAACTAACCCTTTCCCTGTATGGCAGGCTTCCCCCCCCCAGAACTGGGGAACCCCACCTTACGCTATGAAATCCAACCCAACTGGGACAAAACCATAAGTCTTCCAGCATAGCGTAAAATACACAGGTAGCATGCATTTATTTAAATTACGCTACACTGTAAGTAAGTAAAGCTAAAATAACATTTCTATTAAAACAAAAGCTTAATCCCTCATATTCCAAAAATAAATATTAAAAAGTGCAAATAAAAAAATCTATCGCTAAGGGCTTCCTGTGGGTAACAAAACAAAAAGTGGCAAGATGAGCAAGTTACCTAATCTACAGTAAAAATGATACCTGATGCTGTCCTTCCCAAGTCTCTGATTGGTTATTGTGGGTGGTCCCCCCCCCCCCTCCACTAAGGACCATCGTGTCACTACTGCAGATACGACTCCACCATTTTAGGCAGAGTCCTCGTCTAAATGTAAATCCCTGGTCGTTTGGCGACATCCTCAGGCGTGGGGTCAGATCCCCAGTCGTCCTGCTATACTAACAACCGTATGGGGAAGGAGAGTGCAGCCCCCAGGGACAGACCCAGGGCCAGGAAGAAGGTCATGAGGGCTCCCACCATCTCGCAGTCCTTGGGCTTCACCAGCCTGGGGACAGGATGGAGGAATGCGTGTGAGGAGTGACAGGGCAGGTAAGGCCGGCGTGGGGGGCCGGGGGGGTTATGGGGAGAGGGCGACTTACTGCGGCGCGTAGGACATGGAGAGGCAGGCGAAGTAGCCACTGCTGGCCGAGAAGAACACCATGATGAGCGTGAACATCCAGTCGGCTGGGAACCACACGGGTGGGTACTGACGGTCGTCCACATTGCACATCATGAGCAGCGGGATGAAGACGACGCGGGCCACGACCAGAGCGGGGAACAGCCAGCTCTCCTTGCATGGCTGTGGGGGCGATAGCCCGTCAGTCAGAGACCTCATTCCACACATCTACACCGAACCTCCAGCACGAGGCACGTACCCGCTGAACGAGAGACGTGATGCTCCGGCCGAACCAGTCCATGACGTTGAAGGCCAGGAAGCAGCAGATGGGGATGAAGTAGCGCTCTGGAAGGCGGGAACAGAGCAGAGTGCAGCTTACCTCACTGTCACTGACATTACAGTAACATCTAGCAGAAGCGTTTATCCAAAGCAGCCCGCAAATTACGGAGCCGGGCCAAACGGTGAAATCGCTCTACCAGTCTGTACCAGACCTCCCAGTCACAAACCCACTGAACCACACACCAGCCCCAGAGCTGCCGTTTGCAAAATGAGAAGCTTTGTTTTCCTTAAAGTACCAAAGACCAACACTTTCTGGGCGGTTGTTTCAGTAACTTGGGGGAAGCTATTCTATTCAAGAAGTCATAACAGACGTTCGAATTAAATTTCTGGTCCACACCAAGGCTGCAGGATATTAGAAAAAAAATTCACATCGCAATATTTGAAATATTCCGAAAAAAAATTGTGTATATTTATAAAAACAAAAACGAGCTGGAAATTTACCAAAAAAAAAAAAAAACCAGAACAGAACTTATTTACCAATAGTCTGTCAAATATATAGTTGGTGATGTCACTAGCTGTGACACCCGAAGCAGTGCCGACAAATCACTGGCTTTTCTTCAATATCATCTCCATGGTGGATATTTCCATACAATGGAAGGCAACTGCTGGGCAGCACGGTGGTGCAGTGATTAGCACTGTTGCCTCACACCTCTAGGACCCGGGTTCGAGTCTCCACCTGGGTCACATGTGTGTGGAGTTTGCATGTTCTCCCTGTGTCATTGTGGGGTTTCCTCCAGGTACTCCAGTTTCCCCCCACAGTCCAAAGACATGCTGAGGCTAATTGGAGTTACTAAATTCCCCATAGGTGTGCATGTGTGAGTGAATGGTGTGTGAGTGTGCCCTGCGATGGGCTGGCCCCCCATCCTGGGCTGTCCCCCACCTCGTGCCCGTAGCTTCCAGGATAGGCTCCGGACCCCCCACGACCCAGAGGGATAAGCGGTTTGGAAAATGAATGAATGAATAAAGACAACTGCCTTTTAGGAACCAGTTCTGCTTCCCATTTTTCAACTTCACTAATTTTTGCTAAATTTCTCAAACGCGCCACACTGTGTAGGAGTGCATCAAACAGCAAGTGTCAACGTGCAGTGTCGATATTAACAGACCTAGACCAAACCTAAACCCAAGCCATCCAGAACCAGGCTGCTGTGCCGGAGCTTCTGTTCCTGGTGCCAGCGGGCCTTACCCCAATTTCCTCCAGGGTGTTTGGTTCTCACAGCCACAGTGACCACAGGGAAGACCGAGAGGGTGACCGTGAAGACAAACGTCACGCAGAACGCCATCACCCAAATCTGCGGGAGAGGTCATGGGGGAGGATGTGTCACAGAGGAAAAGCACAGCCTGGTCATCCATCCGTCAGAGATGACATTTATATTTTACGTTACTTATTAAAAGACACTTTAACCCAAAGCGACATACATTTATTTCTTTGGGAAAGCAGAGTCCCTGGAGCGAATAGGGTTAAGGGTCTCGCACAAAGGCCCAAACGTGACATCACTCTACCGACTGCGGGATCTGAACCAGCAACCTCCTGATCACAAGCATAGCGTCCCAACCAGCTAAATTGCACACCAGCCCCAACTACGAAGCTGAGGGTAGCGCTAGCAGGGAGCTAGCAGAACGAGGCTCACGTTACCTTTCTGAAAACCTGCATGATGGAGGACTTGGCCTCCCCATCCTCAGCCTCAGGCCCGAGGGGGGCGGGTCGCGGCTTCTCAGCGTCGCCGTTCTGCTGGGAGTTCACCGCCGTGCCGTTCCCCTCCACAGCTGAGCCGTTGCTGTGTCCGTTCAGTTTGCAGTTTTCCACCTGCTCTGTCACTGACTGGGTGCGGAGAGATATGAAAGAAAAAAAAAACACACACACCCAGTGAGACAGCACCGAAACACCCAAGAGGGGCAACAGCCTGCCATCAAACACGTCACACCCATAACTGCCTCACCGTGAAGATAAATTTAAGAATTGTCTGCATGACAACAGCAGACAGATACAGCAAACTCGGAAATCCTGAAATAATGGTCATAGTTCACAACACCAGTGTCTAATTTAACCTGTGACTTTTGCACTAAAAAATCTCCGTGACGAACCATAATGGACCGGCGTGTTCACATCGGACGCCAGGCTCACGCCTGCTTTCAGCACAGACACGAAGCGAGGCTCAGTCTCCATGTGACCTGAAATTTCACTGGAGTATTTATTGCTTTAAAAATATATATACATGTCGTTAGAGAAGCTGGCGATTCTGTGTGACACCCTGTGTGATTTCATTTTATGCCTGGGAATTCCGTCTCACTGGACACCAGGACATCACCTCAGTGGAGGTGACACTGGGCTGTCATGGTAACCCGTCTGTCCCAGGTAGCAAACAGCAGCAAGCTTCCCCCCGATTGGCTGCAGGTTTTCGTTTCGTCCTGGGTGTCCTGATCTATCTTATGTTTGAATAGCTGCACTAAAAATGTGTGAAATGATCAAAAGGGGAAAATAATTCTACAGTTATCGTTTATATAATAAATTATCAGCGAGATAATTTCTATAATAATTATCAGCGAGATGAATCACTGATCGCGATACAAGGTTCACCTGCTGATAAGTGATGTTCAGAAAGTACAACTGCACCCCTAACTGGGGATATCACCATTTAGTGGAAACTAGGTTACTAATCTCAGATTCAATTCTCATCTATCCGTGAGCCTCTAGGGAAGCAGGAATGTTTTTCTGGGGGGTGGGGGGGTGGGGCTTGATGGTAAATTCAAACTAAAAAAAAAAAAACAATGCAATGAGTCACTGGCTGAGTCATCATTCTGCAAATTCATCTACTGGCAACCAGCCAAGCTTACCGGCGCGTCCTGCAGCAGCTCCATCTCCGTCTGCGCTTCCTGCTTCCTGCTTCTGTCAAAGTAATACTGGGCAAACTCCTGCGACGGACAGCAGACGCGTGTGTGTCAGACCTCGGCTGGAATCCCGGCGGTGCCAGGGAATGCTGGGTAACGTAGTGCGGACTCACCAGCCGCGGCAGCAGCATGTAGCAGAGCAGCGTGATCAGCGTGCCCACACACGGCGTGATGAAGTAGCCCAGGGCGGCCCTGTTGGCATTCACCCCGCCTGCAAACAAACATCACCGAGCGAGTCGGGGGGGGGGGCAGAGACGTCGCTAAACAGGTTAGCCTGAACTGTAAAATGCAGTAACTGACAACTGTTTTTTCATCCATTTTAGCTAAAGATCCACTCTGTTACACAGGCACACTGTGCCACTGCTGCTTCCCGGTCATGTGACAGAGAGCCTCGCCATCTCGGCGTGTTCCGAACGGCGGCTCTGTGCGGCACTTACTGGCGATGGTGATCAGGATGGCGACGGCGGCGAAGGTGCCAGCCAAGCCCTGCCCGCTCATGAACACGGCGCTGTACTTCCCGGGAAGCTGCCCTACCAGGCCGAACAGGCTGCCCTGCAGGACGGCTCCGAAAGCTGCGGGGGAGCAGTGGGGCCCGGTTAGCGTGGGGCCCGGGAGGGGCCCCCAGAGAGGCCATACTGTGGCACCAACCACATCTCCAACACACAGACCGAAGCAGAGCTACATTCCCAATTGCAAAGAAAACTAGTTCTACTGCATCCACATGGTAATATAAGGAGTAAGATATAAATTTAAACCACTAATGCCGTGTTTCCCAATCCCGTTTTTGGAAGCAAAAATGTGGACTGTCTGGCAGGGTTGGGACATGGACCAGGTAGGGAAATACTCCATTAATGCAACAGACTTGTGATTCCTATTGGGGAATCATACATTGCAACAATGTTACTGCAGCTGTTGCATTATGGGTGACAGCCCTCAGTAGGTCCCTCTTCCATGTGTCATCTATTCGGCTCAGACCCACTGCAGCACTGAACTCTGGCCCAAACATGACTGCACTGTAAATATGCATGCACTGTACTGCTACAAAAATGCATTTTGTAATACAAGCTTTGAAGCACTAAGGTCGGAGTGGGACTCACAATTGATGAACCAGATGGTTGCCATAGTGATGGAGAAAAAGCTGTCCTTCTGCATGTGGACCATAACGAGAGCAGCGGTGAGGATGAAGAGGAGCAGGATGAAGACCAAGCTGCCTGCTACCCGTACCCTCTCTGATAACCTGCGATGGCATGGAAGAGGGTGAGATGGCTCCCGTCTTTACGGCACCCCTTAGCGTAAAGGCTGCACCAGCAGGGCGCCCCAGAGCCCTCGTCTCACCGCTGGTACAGGAAGGAGTTGAGCAGCGTGAAGAGCAGCAGAGGCAGCTGGGATAGGAGGGTCATCCAGTTGGAGAAGTAGTACTCCTTCCCAACCACTGTGCCATTAACCACTTCAGGACTCAGTTTATCAGTGAAGTACTGAAAGTAAAATTAAACCCGATTGTTCATTAACTCACATACAGACGTTACCATTTAAGTTCATTACATCATAGTGATGAACAAGTGCCGACTGCTGACTATGCAAAAGCGCAAGGCCTACATGCAGGAATGATATGCATCTCCTAAGCACCACCCTCAGGGGAAAAGCACCAGGAAATGCCCCCCCCCCCCTTTCCAGACGAACTTTATTTACCTGCGTTGCCGTCAAGAAGAAGTTCCACGGCAGCAGAGTGCCCATACCAAGGATGAAGAAGATCACCCCCACAGCGCAGCCACTGTCCGGGAAGGAAGGGCAGCGCGTCAGGGTCTGTGACCACGGCAACCTTGGCTTAGAGGTCACCCCGTCACCTCAGGACTGACCCCTCCCAGGACCAGCACGCACACGCAAACTGCCCTGAGCGTGACATCGCTTACAGCCGACTCGGCGAAACCCAGGCGAGATCCTCACTGGGGACTTTGGCCGTCATGCCCCAAACTGAGCACCACTCCACAACATTCTTACACACTTAGACCTACTTAAGAGTGTATTAATGCTAACTTACTTAAGGCATTGGGGCTATCGGTCCAAGCACTTTCTGGATTAACTAAGTGATCGGCGCATATCAGGACAGGTTAGAGCACTCACCGGTCCACAGGGGCACCTTTACTAGTCTTCATCTTTACTGGATTTGACCTGTAAACACACAGGTTACGGCAGGTTAATCACCAGAGATTCATGCAGCACAGAACAGCTTCAAATCCACAGGAATGAGACTGAACCTTTGGATGACAGCCGGAAGATTTCCCCTTTACTGCATACACCATAACGACTGTACACTTTACACTGTATTGTACCCTTTTTGAATACATTATTCATAAAAACAAGAGATTTGCGGTGAACTAGCAGTACAGAGAGAAAATACATGATTTGCATACAAATAACACATAGAAAGGCAGGAGAAACAGTGTTTACTGACTGCGTTTGAAGCTGAGGTGAGGTTTAGGTACGGCACCAACGATTTAATAACCAGGCATTCAAAACTACTCATCTGATGACTTCATGATTAATGTTTTAATCAGGCACTGGGCGTTTTCTCACTTCGGAATTCAGCCTAATTATCAATGGACAGGCAGGTAAACAAGTGAACAGTCCAGAAACGTCTTGCTACGTTCACAACCAAAAGACAGATCACACACATAAGCCGGGGTCACCCACTCATACGTTTAGTTAATGAATCATCCTGAAATCGCAGCGGCTCCTTTGAGTCACACACGTCCACCTCACACGTGGCCGGAGGCAGAAAACGTGGGACTTCAGCCAGTCAGCCACTCAATAAGCCTGACATTACAGACAACCTGCAGTTATCCATCAAAAAAGCAGTTTACTTTCTGACAGAAGGGGCTCTGTCTCAAACGAGTTACCGCAAAACGAGAGGCAAGGAAAGAGAACAGGCGTCTCATTGTAGGACCTTTTCCATCATTTTACCGTAAATGTTATAATCGAGTCAAACTACAGAACACATTAAACAAACACAACCAAATTAACAAATTATCGGTCATAACCCATGTCGGCGTACATTCACTGGAGCCCGTTTCTTAATCTAACCACCTCCGTACACACGTAATGTGACAATGAAATACACGCAGCGATCAGAAAGATGGCAGAGAAGCAGCCAGTGCTCTCACCTTATCTGCGAGACTTCAGCGGCTAGGCCAGAATTTAGAGGAATTCTGTGAAAAAAATTTAATTTCAGTGAAAAAGACAAAAATCAAGGTGACAAGGTGACAGCTCTACAGACCTTCATACAGAACACGTGTCGCGCAAGACCGAAGCAGCATCATCATCGCTTTGCGCACCACGTGACCCGGCCATCATCTGTATCTCATTGGCTGGCGTGCGGCGGCCACGTAACGTAAGGCAGATTTAAGGTACCCCAGCTTAAATTTGGAATTTTATCTTTGTTCACTTACATTTAGTCCTGACCTTAAATACGACATATTATCACTAAGCAAGAAATCATGGGGGGAATTTCCACAAGGTAGGATTTTCCAGTTATCTGGAACTTTGTGGAATGCCACCCTGCTTCGTGATACAGGTCCAAGGTGTCCAGTTGTGGACAGTTGAAAACAAATAGTGCCCCAAGTCTAGATCGGACTGGGTATTGTCAACTAGCCCGTGATGCAATAAGCATCAAGCTTCCGGTGTCACAATTCAATGCATCGCTCTGCTACCATTGTATCCTGATGGCCAACATTCCAATACTGAAGTAAAGGAACTACTAACAATTAAATTTGGCCTGTTTAAAATGCCAGCCAAGCCCTGCTTTATGCCTACATAAAGCGCACATTTCTCTTTTTGTGAAATATTTGACTTGCACTTTAACATTTCAACGGCAGACACTTCACTGCATTTTTCCCATTGCAGTGCACTAAGCATCGGTTACATAAACAGCATATTTTTAAATCAGCAAATGTCAAATAAATCATTCGACTCTACTGCAATAAATTAATAAAATCGATGCAAAGGTCAGGTAAACTCCCCTCCCGGTGATCCTTCCTCTGCTAGTTATCCAGGAAGATCACGTGATTCAGCTCTGTAAACAATCCGAATAGGAGACAGCATGCACGTGCACATCCTCCCTGTGACGGTGCAAATCCGATTTCGATGATGTACAGCATCTCCTATCGTGCATGAACTTACAATGAAAACACAAAGGACATAAGGCTACTGGAAAGTGTTTTCTGCTAAGCATGTCAAAAATGCAGCTGATTCTTAGAGCCATTCATGCATGCGTGCCATTCTGACGAAAGAAAATACCATTTTGAGTGGGTACCGCTTTCGAATTGTGTATTTGTACCTCTGCGGTACCCGTTGGCCACGCCCCCAAGCACGTTACCCGCCAGAAACTGAATGGTTTCAGTCAGGCCGGGAAGTAATAGTACAGATATTTTCATCTGAATCCCGATTACAGGAAAGTTACCTGGGAGGTCCCCTCGCAGCGTGTAGCTCTTCATGAGCACGCATGGACAGCAGGACAGACCCAGCTCTGTTCGTTTTATGTTACAGGTCTAAGAAAGGCTGCGATTAGAACAACTAATTCACTGCGATTTAGTGAGCAGAGCGACCGAGTCACACGGCTCTGGGTTAAACCGGGAAATCCCTCCATGTAAGCGAGAGAAAAAACGAAAACGCAGCGTTTCATTTTCCAAAGCTGAAAATACAGATACAATACAAAATGTTAAACTAATTCATATTACCACGAAGCAATATACACTCAATCTAATATGTACAAACATTTAGATTATCATCAATATATTGCTTAAAAACAAATGGTTACGTTGTCACGAAGCGATAAAGGTCTTTATTATAAGATATTTATTTTGGCGCTCCCTAACTCCATCCCGCTTTAATGAAATATGGCACCAGTACCGCTGTCTTCTAAACCGTTTAATCAGTCATACGTGAACGTTACATTCAGCTGCCTGTCCATTATAACTTGTTTCCTAATTATAATATAATATAAAATTATCACTTTATTAATCACTTAGCATCAGTTCAGAAACCAACATCACACGCATCTTCAGCATTGCACCTAAGTACGAATTACGCCAATTAAGTAATAATAATAATAATAATAATAAAGTTAAAGGATGAAAAGGCGCTGCCCTGGTTAGTAAAATAGCCGCATTTTTACGCAGGTTAGTAAAAGAGCCGCATTTGTATGAATGTGCGCTGCAGGACTCACCGGCTGCCAAGTGCCTCTTGAGCGGCGCGCCTTTATTATTTATTTGGCGGGTTTATCGAATCATTCCGGAAAATCCGCTCCCGCCTCCGTTCATGGTTTCTCTCTTCTTTCTGGTTTGTTCCAAAAGGCTGGGAGACCCAATGTTTCATCCATCCATCATGTTGGACATAAACGTGCTTTGCGTACTGTAAATGCACCAAATGGTTAAGCATAATTTGCTGTGTGCTGAATTTGTCACATATTACATTTGATCAGACTAGTCGTGGTGATTGCAGTAGGTGGAGAACAGGGTTTTTTTCTCATAGCTTTCTTAACGCTACATCTTTTAACGTAGACCTTATGAACGACGTGGCGTTAAGAAGGTTTCGAGAGACCGGGTCCTGATCGGGGCTGAAGTGGGCCGGTACTCACAGGTACGCGGTACCAGCACCTCTTTGTTTTACAGGTGTTGTGCTGCACCCCCCCCCCCGCGCCGCTCGCTATATAGCTTAATTTTTCTTGCCTTAGACTAAAAAGGTCATATTGCTTGTTTATTATGGTATGTTACAATCAAACCTTAATTTAAGATTAACCTCATGTGAAACGTTGCAAACGGGACAGAGATGCTTTTCTTTTCGACAACGCTTGTTTGTGCAAATACAGTCGCCTTCAGTCACAAGCAGCGATTCATTTACTTTAATAATGTTTGGCACTTTGTTGAAATCGTTTCAATGTGTTTCCTATCCTGCCTTTTCTCATATCTATAATGCAGCGATTAGCACCGTCATGCCTGGAAATGATATGACGGCGGACCAAACCCCCAAAGTAATCAGCTAGTCAGCAAATATTCACTATTCACTAAAGCGATGACGTCAGGGGGCAGTTTAGAGCCCAACACCCGCATCTGGTACTGAATAATAAGGGATTATACAGGTAAGGATGTCCCATTGTTATCTGTATATTACAATAAACGCGAAACTTGTTCCATTGTAAGTGTTCCTTTCGTACAACATTCAGATTTATAATAATAATAAAAATACAAGAAAATTCTGGTCTTATTAAATGTAATTACAGAAATGGCATTCGAATTTGGTCAAATAATAAAATGAAACAACAGTAAAACTTCCACTTCAAGCACTGATACAGATGAACTGCTGTAAAATGCCCATTAAAATAAATGGGTCCTAACACGACTGGGCAGTTAAGCTCCGACTAACCATGTAAAACATACTGGTGCCACTTCAGCGTGTGCTGCACCGGCCCAGCCAACATAACAATACGGCTTCAACCTTTCCTTTGGCTTCATTCTCAATGTCTCACTTACTTATTTCAAAAGTAAAGAATAAAGTGATTGAAAATATGACAATAACATCCACGTATCATAAGAATGTACAGGTACATATACACACTACACACTTTTGTACTACAGTCACTTTAAGCTTACCTTTGGTACATACGCGGGAGTGTATATATACAGGTACATATACACACTACACTCTTTTGTACTACAGTCACTTTAAGCTTACGTTTGGTACATACACGGGAGTGTATATATACAGGTACATATACACACTACACTCTTTTGTACCACAGTCACTTTAAGCTTACCTTTGGTACATACGCGGGAGTGTATATATACAGGTACATGTACACACTGCACTCTTTTGTACTACAGTCACTTTAAGCTTACCTTTGGTACATACGCGGGAGTGTATATATACAGGTACATATACACACTGCACTCTTTTGTACTACAGTCACTTTAAGCTTACCTTTGGTACATACGCGGGAGTGTATATATACAGGTACATATACACACT